CTACTGAACTTTGACGGTTGGACATATAGCAGGTCTCTACAGAATTTGGACAATGGGACATATAGCAGGTCTGTACTGAACTTTGACAGTTGGACATATAGCAGGTCTCTACAGAATTTGGACAATGGTACATATAGCAGGTCTCTACAAAACTTAGACAGCTGGACATGAAGCAGGTCTCTACAGAACTTGGACACTTGGACATAAAGCAGGGCTCTACAGAACTTGAAATAGCTGTAAAGATAGGTCTGTACTGAACTTTGACAGTTGGACATATAGCAGGTCTCTACAGAATTTGGACAATGGTACATATAGCAGGTCTTTACAAAATTTAGACAGCTGGACATAAAGCAGGTCTCTACAGAACCTGGACACTTGGACATAAAGCAAGGCTCTACAGAACTTGAAATAGCTGGACAGATATGTCTCTACAGAACTTGGACAAGCCAGAATGATGTCATGTTACCAGTGACTCAGTCAGACTTGAGAAATTTGACTAACATGAAGCACTCTGGCCAAGTTGACTGGCCTGTTTTTATTTAAAGACTGTGATTGTTTACCTCTTGTTGACTCCGCCCCTTTTACCTGAAGAATTCTAATCTACAGATTTAAAACTCGGTTTCCCTGAGTCACAGAGACATGATGAAGCAAAAACCTGAGAACATTCGGTCATACTGTCTCTGGACCAAGTTTGGTTCTGCTTTGGTTCTAAACTGACTCCGTTTTATAGAACCACCTGGTGCAGTTCAGATTCCTACCTGAGAGCAGAATCACATTAAAACACAGAGCTGGACTCCTTAAACACAAAGCTTAGGAGGTCCAGTTTCACCTGGACCCGGAATGTCAAAATGGGAACCTCCAGAACCAGTACTCACCCACTTTCTCTGCAATCTTTCCAGCGAACAGGTCCATGTCTGCGGCGTCTCTGTGTCTCACTGCAGTCAGCAGGTGTTCTGGCAGAATGCGGAGCCTCCCACCTGTCTCAGGTGTAGGCAGTCTAGGAACCAGGTGTGTCTGCGGACCAGTCCAACCAGTTCGACCTACTGCCCCAGTTAGAGCATGCTCAGTTTGGGCCATGTTGGATGGAGGAACCCCGCCCTGAGTTCTGACTGCAGGCTCACTTCTTAGTCTTCTTCCATCCTTTCTCTGAAAACAAGCGTTACTCATTATGAAACTATACCTGAACACATTCTTTAATACACCCACGCCTTCAGAGAAAGTGAGAAAAGCCTCCAGAGACGAAAATAAACCACTCAGAGTTGTTTATATTGTAAATCTAAGTCTCTGGTTATGATCATAACTTCTCAAATGTTAAAATTATTCTGAGAAAGTGAAGTTCTGACGTCTTTTTGGCCCATTTTAGCCTCCCAGGTGTAACTCTGTCACCGCCCCACCCTCTTAGTCAGGTTGGTCCTCTTTGTTCTCCACCTGTCAGAAAACACCTTAGAACACAAAGACTTTTCCCTGAATTCCTGTCATCTAAAAATTTCCTGGAACTGAGTTTATTCTTTAAATTCACGTCCGTTTTCCATAACAGCGGTTAGGGTGTCAGACTTGGATCCCAAAGGTTACTGGTTCGACTCCCGACCCGCCAGGTTGGTGGGGGGAGTAATTAACCAGCGCTCTCCCCCATCCTCCTCCATGACTGAGGTACCCTGAGCATGGTACCGTCCCGCCACACTGCTCCCTTGGGGCGCCATTGAGGGCTGCCCCCTTGCACGGGTGAGGCATAAAATGTAATTTCATGGTGTGCAGTGTTCACTTGTGTGTGCTGTGTCACAATGACAATGGGAGTTGGAGGAGTTTCCCAAAGGGCTTTTCACTTATTATTGGACCAGAATAGTCCAGAACCAGACAATTTTTTCAGAAAATTAGACTCAACTTTATTCATCCCTTGGGATTATTCCTACAGAGAAAATCTGGAGTAGCTTATATAGAGTGCAAAGAGTTAAAGCAAAATGCCATTAAACATAAAACTACAACAGACAATATAAAAAGTGTGCATATAGTACCAAATAAGCATAAAGAAGGGAGTGAGGGACCAAACTGAATAAGGACAAAAGGTGTTCAAAAATTGAAAAAAAAATCTCATTTAATAATGTCAAAAATAATTAAAGGTTCAAAGGTAATAAAAAACAAGGATTTGGGCCGAAACAACCGAGGTCAACTGAACAGTAACTCAAACCAAAAACTGACCGACTGATAAAGAACAGAAGCTGCTTTAAATAGAACGGAATAACCTAAACTTGCCATGAGGCCGCTAAAATATGAAAGAAAAGTAATAAATAAATAAAAAACTCTATACTAAACTCAAACATATTAAACAAGTACTTTGCACAAATAATAAGTGATTATTAAGCTGACAAAATAACTTAGGTCAACTTTAACAATTAGCTGCCTATTGATGCATTCAGGGCCCAGTTTGGACCAAGCAATAAAACAACAAAACTGTGTTTATGGAGGAGATCTTGTTCCACTCAGTGATCATGAGGTGCCCACATCATCAGCCCTCCACCGCCGTGCCCCACAGCTGGCATATGGCCTTTGATTTTCTGACATGGTGCAGTTATAAAGTGACCAGTCAACCATTGAAAAGATGTTTATTTAGACATGTTTTATCAAACTGGCTTAGTTTCTTGTCATGTGCTGATGAAGATTCCCAGTCATCCAGGTCAGCATTATTCCATAAAAGTTTAAATCAATCCACTGGACTTTATTTCCAAGTTTGAAGACGTTTCTCTTCCATCCAGTAAGTTTTTTCAATTCAAATCGTAAGAAATAGCGTTTAGTTCCAGGTTTTATCCAGCAGCCCAACTAAGCCTTGTTTTTTTTTTTTTTAAACATTCACTTAGCAGCTTTTGGTGTTCATTCCTAAGGATCTCTTCTGCCCTCTGTCCTTTGATAATAGACTTCAGTCTTAAGCAGTTGGGAACATGTCTTTGCTCTCTGGATCTTAAATTGAACCCATTTTCCCATTTTCACGTTTCAATTAGCATGATTTCTAAACCAAAAACAAGGGTTTGCTTTTGGTCCACTCTATAAAGCCTGGAACTCAACGCTATTTCTGATATTTAAATTGAAAAAGCTTCCTGGATGGAAGAGAAACGTCTTGATTGATTGATTGATTAGGAATTTCCTGCTGTTTGGGTTTCATCAAGTCGTTCCCTCTAAGCTCTTTTTTTTTCCTGCAGTGAGGCCCTGTTTGGTAGTGATTAAAATGTGATATTTTGTTTTATATTAGCATTTTTTAACAGCTTCTTCAAATTTAACCTGTTTTAAATTCAAATTTTATGTCTAATTCATTGGTAATCTTTTCATATCCTTTTCTTTACTGTGTTTTTTTTTCTCTAAGACACTTGATTAGTCAAAGTATAAACAAATAAACTGCCTCGCCTTTATTTACAGAGTTTTGCATAACAAATTTATGTTGTTTTGAAAACTATGACTCACATTATGTATATATTGTCCCTGTCTAGTTAGAGAGTGCAGAATGAATTCATTTAAAAGCCTTCAGCTGATCCAAAATGCTGCAGCCAGAGTTCTGATGAAAATGAAAAAGAGAGATCATATCTCTCCTATCCTGGCTTCTCTTCATTGGCTTCCTGTTAAATCCAGAATAGAATTTAAAATCCTCCTTCTCACATATAAAGCCTTAAATGGCCAAGCTCCATCTGATATCAGAGATCTGATTGTTCCTTATGTTCCTAACAGAGCACTTCACTCTCAATCTGCAGGTTTACTAGTGGTTCCTAGAATTTCTAAAAGTAGAATGGGAGGCAGATCTTTTAGTTATCAGGCTCCTCTCCTGTGGAACCAACTACCAGTTTTAGTCCGCGAGGCAGACACCCTGTCTACTTTTAAGGCTAGGCTTAAAACTTTCCTTTTTGATAAAGCTTCTAGTTAGAGTGGCTCAGGTTATCCTGATCTATCTCTATAGTTCTGCTGCTATAGGCTTAGACTGCTGGAGGACATAGGGACCCCTTTTTCATCATTCTGCTTCATTCTATCTCTATTCTCCCACTCTGCAGAATCTGTTAGTTCAATCTCTTACCAGGAGCGGATTTAGGAAATTTGGGGCCCTAGGCAAAGACAAGCAGGGGCCCCTATAAGAAGATAACACAGAGAACAGCCCCATTCTCCAGATAGAGAAATGTTAATAGAATATACATCCATTATCTGTTCTAGGTTGTGTCCCTCTCTTCTTGTCCCTTTTCTTCTTGTTTTCCTCTCTATGTTTTGTACTCAGCTGACTTTTCATGCTGTCTCTAAAGGAATGAAAGATTTTTTCCAAGCACTAAGCTCACTTAGCTGATTGCTCCTTCCTGTGTTTCCAAAAAGGCCAAAGTAAATAACCCAGTCCTTCTTTTCACTGTAGACAAGCCATGATCTGCTTATCTGTTCTCCATTTTTCATTTGGATGAAATAATAGCTGCATGAATCATGACAGCAGACAAGATAGAGGAGAGCAGGAGGCGGGGTTACCAATCTACTCGCTCTGGAGAGCAGAGTTCGCTGCTTTTAGATGTTGTCTCCAAAGTCTCCAGTAGCAGAAAAAAGTCTCTAGATTTGGTGCTAGGAGCTTTTTAGAAATCAAAATGAAGATTTCGTTTTGTATACACTACAAAATGGCAATAAAAGTTTTCTAAGTTACTGTTGATCTCACATAGAGTCACTAATTGTTCTTTCTTTGGATGAAATAACAACAAATGCAGCTGCAGGTGCAGAGACCATTGTTCTGTCATGAGCCAATAAAATTGTCATTTATAATTGTAGAGCTGCAGAATATAGAATGATGCAGCTCTAGAAATGGACAATTGCTTTTAATAATTTCAGGATTTTTTTTTGCACCGGATCTGGAGAAACCGCTTACTAAAGACACTCTCTTGAACTGAACTGAAATAAAATGTTAAAATTGATAAAATTTCTAAGAAAAAAACATCACATAGAGAAAAATAAAACGCTTCAGGAGTAAGAAATAAATCAAGCTTTATTTCATGAGGTTTTCTTTAATCCAGCATAAAGGGAACAATCAATGAGCAAAAACTCAACATTAGACATTAGTTTATAATATATTTTACAGTTTATGAAACCGGTTCATTTTCCCAGGAGGATTCAGTGCATTAAATTGACTTTTAGTTATTTTAAACATTAGTTAATAAAATATTAAAGCTGATTAATGCCATAAGCAGGTATCAGGTGGATGAAGGTGATGAAGACTCCAGGTTCCTACTTGAACAGCCCCCCGACGAAGTTACCAATACCTGGGAACAGAAACAGAGCAGAGCATCAGACCAGGAGCTGGATCCACAGAACAGAACCTAGAACACCTCCAGGAGGAGCTCCTGCCATCAGATAAGATGAAGATGCATGAAGGAACTGAAGCAGGTTTCTGGTAAAGATCGACTCTTAAACAGAACAGTAAAATCTTTTCCTTCTAAAAGAAATAATTTAATTTCAAAGACATTTATTCATCGTTTACTATCATAGCTCCAATAAATCAGAACATATCAGGAAGTGTTCCTGTTCTATCAACAGTTTAGGAGCATTAATAAATCCTGTTTGATTAAAGGAAAAGTTTCTGTTATTGGTCCCAATTGTTCCTCCTCCGATTCTGGAGGGAACTGTTGTGTTCCAGGATCAGTGGATCCTTGTGGACACTAGGGGGCAGCACTCTCCTATCAGCCAAGAACCAGCCAGGTTCTACTGATCAACTGCTCTGATCACCTGAATATCAGGCTGATGTGATCTAGATCAGCTGGTCGTCATTAAGCATCATTTTAAAGTTAAATAATTCAAACATTGGAGTAAAGATTTTCAACATGTCGAACTCACCTCCTCCTCCTCCTTCTTTTTCCTCCTTCTTGCCGCTGACCATTGAGAGGGCATCATCCAGTCCAAAGCCTCCTTCTTTTTCCTCCTTCTTCCCACTGACCATTGAGAGGGCATCATCCAGTCCAAAGCCTCCTTCTTTTTCCTCCTTCTTCCCACTGACCATTGAGAGGGCATCATC